CTCGCTTTGTGTAATTACGTCATGATATGAACATTCTTATTACTATTTACAATTCACAATCGAAAATATGCTCGGGAAACGATTCATGCGAAACACGACACGCATGGAGAACTTGTTCAGAGCCGTTTGAATATGGCTTGCCATAGCTACTTGGGAGATATCTAATCTGGAATCCACATTTAACTGGTTGAATTTCAAGAAAGGAAAAAAAATTATTTGTTATGACTGTTATGACTCGATGAAATTTCAATGTTATGCGAGACTCTTTAAATGGATTGGAGGATCAAAGCTCAACTACTGAGAACTCTAGAAGTAATCGACGACAGCATAATTTATGAACATAAGAACGAAATCGCGCGGCCTGAGTTGTATCGGAATAATTTACAGACTGCCATAATCTGCTTTGCTTCTCAATATTTCCTGTGGCGAATGGAGAAGAGGTCAATGCACTACTAACGCCGCCGAGGAATGATAGGATTTCCGCTGATTATACAAAAACTACCCGCGCTCACGAATAAAATCACCTTTCCGCTCGACCGGAAGAGTCTGTTGTGCTTTCAATTTCTAAACTGACTGCGTCAAAATGTTTCGAGTTTGTCTTTACCGAAAATTTTTACACTGTTCTTCGCCAAACTGAACGATTTTTTGCCTTGCCTCCGACTATTCTCATTTCTATGGTTTTTCTGCACGTTAATCTCAATGTCGTAACTTGAATTGGCTTTCTCACGTGGTCTTCCTTATTTATTTTTTTTCATTTTGGCGAGTCCTGTTTACAGTGTTCACTGTAGATTGGCCGCCATCGCGCTGATCTCATGCATAACAAATATTAAGCAGAGACAAAATTTTGAAAATCACTTACCATGAAGGCCAACATAACCGCTACAGCGCTGAAAAACCAGAGGAACATTTCGTCGATGGTAATTTCGCTAAAAATTGACAAAAATTATGCGGTTCCAGCGGCAATATTATCGTAGTGAAACTTTGACTTGTGTTCCGCAGTTCCAGCGTAATTTCTTTACATCCGTCTATAGTGGACTCCGCGGCTGCACAGAGCGTGAATCATCAAATTTCATTTTTTATAGGCGATCAGTTATCAAATTGTTGTGTTGACTTTTGGCCAAAAGCCTAGATTATTCTGGATAACACTATGCTTGAACAAGCATGACACACGCCCCGGTGTGGGTGGGATTAGGGTAGGGAGGAAGAGGAGAGTAGTGCTTCCAAAAGAAAAATTGATAGGGGTGGGGCGGGGTTACTTGCATCAATCACTACTATGCATCTGAGGTACCCCTAAGATATTTAACATCTTGAAAGTAATCTCGGAGATAATTTAAGTTTCACCTCTTTGGATAAAACTGAATAATAACATAGCTACGAGACAATAATCTGATTTTCTTCCCCATTTGATACATAGGGTTTTTCCCTCCTCCGCAACCCCCACTTCACGGGTCATTCAAGCGATCAGATGAAGGAACAGGCAGCTGGAGCCCAATGTTCTTAGTTTTCTGACATTTAGCTTATTTCCCTCCGTCGTGGGCCGGTAATCTTTGCAGTTGTTCAGGGATGGAGAGCTTTGACAAAAGGTTTAAAGCTGAGAAGTAAAAGAAAACTCTTGCGTAACAGAGATATGTTGCGGCTCGCAGTTCGTGGCTGCGATAAGTTATAAAATATTTCGCCCATGGTATCTTTTCCCCTCCGCCCTTAAGCAGATTAGACCGCAAAGGTTATCAACACGGAATACAAGGAGTAACAATCTGGAATGAATGTGCTTTTATTACGTCATGGTGAGATTACAATAGTAAGGTCACAATTAAAAGATAACAAACTGCAGAAGTAAATGGTTATCTTTGGATATGTTTGCTGCTTTTAAGTTTTTAGTCATAATATGTAATCGATGATACATTTTGCCACTTCTTAGCTATTGTTTACACGAGCGAGCAATTGACGGATAAAACTACAACCTATATGTATTTCTGCACGATCAGTCACTGGATTTTAAAACAAACTAGCTTCCAGTCTTCGATATCAGTTGTTTGCATTCAAGGTTTCGTGTTTCACACAGCTCTTGAATTTCATTATTGAAAAACATACTAGTTTTACAAAATCATAGGAACACTAAGGCTAAGTAGCAATATCCGCACTTGATAAAATATCACGGCGTATTAATCTCAAATTGTGAAGATCACATTTAGCAACCGCACAAAATAACCAGAGGAATTCCTGAATTTGGTACCAGTATTTCTCTGCATTCAATCTTAGTTCCGAAAATCATACGAGCAAAGCGCAATACTGTTAACAACACAAATGTGTTTTATATTAAAAAATATATATATATATATAGATATATAAAAGAACAAAAATAGAAAAACAAAAAATAGCATGAAATGGGAATACCATAAGATGCTCACAGTTAGGCCGCAGTACCGAGTCATATAAAGATTTTACGAGTTTAAGTTTTGCGAATTGGGAAAACTTGCTATAGCTATGAACTGAGCTGTAAGAACATCTATTGATGAAGGCTGAAAATATCAGTACTGAGTTGGAAATCGTAATAAAAAAAAAATCCCAAGTGGAAATTATCATTTTTTCTAACAGGGATGTTTTCCCTCAAACATACACACGGAACACCTCCCGCAAAAAATTCATGCCACAAGGTTATCTAACTATTATCAGTCAAAGGTACGCGCTCAGTTCTTTTTTCGATCGAGACAGCTTGGCCCTTCCCAGCCAGATCTGCACACTTTACTTCCATTAAGGGTCTCGCACGTGTAATGCCCGTGCTCGTTGTCATCATGAGGGACACAGTACTGGAGACACTCGGGGCCATGCCACCACTGCTTGCATTGCTTAACTCCATCGTCAGAACAATAAATGTAGCCTTCTTGCTGAACACTGTACGTGTCATTCGCCAAGCAGGATAAAGAACAATTTGCACCATACCGACCCAGGAGGCAGTCCACACAGTCTGGAGGGCGATACCCATCAAAACAGACTTTGCCGCCATGCTCGTCACAAGTATAATGGCCCCGGATGTCATCATCTTGAGGAACACAAAACACCGTGCAGTTCTTTCCGTGCCATCCATTATGGCATGTTTTATTTCCGTCAGGCGCACAGCTATAATGGCCATTGTCATCATCGTCATGTGGAATACAGTGCGCTTTGCACTCGTTACCAAACCACCACGGTAGGCAATTTTTTGTTCCATTCGATTGGCTGCATCTGGGGAGGTAAATGCAATTTTTGGTGTCTGAAAGCGTAATGCATAAAACTGGGAAGAATACTAATGGCCTTTTTTTCGAAACAAACGAACGAAACTACTACTAATAGTGGCTAAACAACTGTTTTTGGTAGCTGAATATTTTTCCTTGGCTGTTTTTGAGTTTGGATCTCTTTCTCATAAGCGTTAACAAGGACAAAAATAGTACCTAGAAATACCTTGCAAATTGCGGTTGGAACAACTTACTTGTAATGTCCAAGCTCGCCACTGTCTTGAGGTACACAGTACGTAGAACAGCCAGGACCAAACCAGTTTTTCACGCATCGTTTACAAGATGGCCCCTCCCAACGTGGAAGACAGACTTTGTTTCCCTGCCTATCACAGTTGAAATGTCCATCTCGCGGGTCATCTCGAGGAGCACACCATCGAGTGCAGCTCTCTCCATAATAATTTGATCTACAGACCTTTCCTCCCATTTCATCGCAGGTGTAGTGTCCCCTCCAGTTAGGGACACACTTCACAGTGCAGCTCTTACCGTACCAGTTAGTTCGACAAACCTTTTCTCCCAGCAATCCACATGTGTAGGTTCTTCCCGGGACACACTCCTTTGTGCAGTGAGGGCCGTACTAGTTCTTGTCGCAGTGTACCTCCAAGTCAAGTGTTATCTGAACGACCCTGCTCTTATGTCGTAAGGCAATTTTCTGGTGGCCGTTCCCAGGTGACCAAGGTCTATTCGAGCTATAAAAGGTCTCCACTAGGTCATCTTTAAGAACACTGTCATGGTCCCAAACTTGCACCTTCAAATTAACGAATTCCTTTGGCGGAAGTAATTTATGTCATTTAGTAAACAATCTCTTGCATTCACCAATACACACAGTCCATTTTAGGTATGTATACCCATGTGAGTGAGAGCGCGCACGACTGACAAATTTTGTTGAGAGTTTTGGAGGAACAAAACAACTTTTTTCCAGTACGCCCGGACACTACATCAAGTAACCGAGTGCGCAATAAAGAATTTCCCGCCAATTCTAACCAGAATTTTTTAACCATTTTAACCAATTGACGATTTTAAATTGTGCTGGTCACGTAACATATGATCCAGGCTGAATTACAACTCAACATGTGCACAATTTAGGATCGTTTCATGCAACAGTACAAGCGACGTACAAGGATACAACTTTTGTAGGAAATGCGGTTAAGGTAACTGAAATGTTTGACGGCGTTAAGGAAGTTTGCACCATTCACGTTCAATAAACCCAAAACTTATTAATCGAAACTCCTGTGGAACGATCGCAACTTGTGCTCATGTTGAGTTATAATTACTTCGCTTTTGATGTGAAGGATGTAAAATTCTGACTTACTTGTAAGGATGTGAAAGTGAACTCTTTTCCTAAATTAAGTATATAATCATCCCTGTCACCAACGACTGCAGTCCGTTTTGTTCCCAGGTTACAGGAATACGTTTTGGATGAAGCTGATTGTGTCGCGCAAATTTTGAAGTATGCTTCACATCCACCAGAGCAACCGAAAAACCCAGCATCACAGCATTTGAATTTGTAGGTCCTATGAGCAGGATTTTTGTAGTACTTCAGAGTAACGCCTACACGTCCACCACCTTCACAGGGCATCTGTAAAAATTGTAAACACTAAATCGATTTAGAAAAAACCCTTTCGAGCTGTCAACAAAATCTATCAAAATTTTCAAAAGATGTTTTCTTTTGGCTCTTTTCTCAGGAAAAAAGCTCATAAGTTTAATTTAGCTGGAAAAAATTGTAAAATCTTAAAGAAAACGCGAGATACGGCTGAAAGAATGCTTTAGGGGAGCTAGATCCATACCGAAGGGCAAAAGGTGTCTTAATCGGAAAGGTCTTCAGCAGAGTGGTAACGTTTCCGCAGGGTTTTCATCTGAAATCTCGATTTTCAAATTTTATTTTCATGAAAATTCGCCAGAATATTCGTCAGATATTAACGCAACAAAGCGTGTGAGGCTCTTACGAAGTACGACCAAATAACATAAAACTGTTTGAATGAGATTCGATACCAAGCCTGCGACGGTTTTGCAGTAAATATAGAAACCGGGAGGTCGGTCCTAGAGGAACCGCCCGCTTTGGGAGTGCCACAGAGCCCTGTACAGAGCAAACTGTTGTATTTAAACAATTAAAGAAAGTCTTCCCCGACTCTTTAGCCTGGACCTTCCGTAAACTAAATACGTAATTAACAGGACCCTACGTGGCCTGAGTAGCCATTGAGTTCTTTGCTGTTTAGTTAGTGGGAGTTTCCACGACAAAAAGACCTTTAAATCATTTTATCTGGCGCGAGACTTAGTGTTGTCTTTTCCCAGTGCTCGAGCTAATTGTGTCATAATTTCCACTAGCTGCAAAACATAAAGATTCGGAGTGTTTCTTAATTCATCGAAGAAAGGCAGTTTTCCAGCAGTTTCCATTAAATACAAAGTCCGACAAGGCATAGTTGTCTACACAGCGTAACTAACGAGACTTACCACATAGAAAAAGATCATTGCCGCAGCGGATAGCAGTGGAATGAAGTTCATTTTTCCGTTTCTCTTTTTTTCCGGTGTTGGCACTGAGCAAGGATATATAACTGCAAACTGAACGACAGCTTGAACAATTCACCGTCAGCATACGACTGAAGTCCAGTAGTTTACTCTTGGTTTACATAGACCTTTATTAAGTGTTTAGATCTTGTTTGGCGTTTTTGGATGATTAAATGGAACTGATGAGCCAATATTTGATACTTTTCCGTTTGTTATAAGCTGTTAATCCGGATACAGTTGATGGATATAGGAAAGATCACTCCATAATTAGGACGGCTGCTGAAAGAGTACTTGATGTGCTTTGGTAAAAATAGAACTTCGAGAAATTTCACAAAGAATTCCGGTTGAGCAGAAGGATCGAGTAAAAAACGCCTTTGGGATAGCCAGTAGTGTTAGGGCAGTAATTTCTTCCTTTTCTATAGCGTCAAGCATCATATCTGTCCTAAGGATGTTTAATTTTAAGCGTTTCTTTCGCTCTGTGTGTCCAGTAAGCTGGTTAACCCTTTACAACCTAGCATCAGCATGAATATTCTCCATACTGTTCTCTACACATCTCCTTGAGTGCGGACAAGGAGAATTTGTTTAACAATAAAGAGCTTGTTTAGTTGGTGATTTTTTTTCCTTTACTCTCACTCTTAACGTGTTATTCAGGGGTGATATTATAAGGAGAAATTAGATCATTCTTAGGGGTAAAAGTTTTAAGAGCGGCTCGTTCACATACTTTGGAAAACGCTGGTAAATTGGTCATATGGGACGTCTGTTGTTTGGGTCACCAATGCGATTGTTGTTTGGGTCACCAGTGCCGGGTTAATTCCAGACTTTGCGATATGAAGAGTCTAGTTACCTCTAGATCTGCATCTTCAATAGCGATCCCGAAGCTTTCTGATCAACAAACAAACAGGAATATAAATGAATGTGTTGACAGGTTAGCATGACTCCCGCCGCACAAAGAAATTAGCCGCGAGTTCTCACTACTTGGAACTCGCCAGATCGCTAGATCGCTGTTAGTTTTATTTTTGGTGACTGAGCCTTCTTAGCTTCAGCTTTCCACGATTTTGCTCCATCTTCTGTGATTTGAGGTCAGTATACTTTGCTATAATTAAAGAGAAAACTTCGTTTAAAGAACTAGCAAACAGACGAAGAAAATTCCAGACATTTTTGAAAATAAAAAACAAATATTACGTAATATAGCATATAATCTATTGCTATCCTTCAAAAACCTTTGTACTATCAAGATAATTAATTCAACTAGACCAGATTCAGTATGCTTCAGGTTCATTCCTAGTTCAGGGTAGTTATCTTAGTTTTCGTTACATGTTTATTATGATTCCATTAATGACGGAACATTATTTTTCTGGAGAGGGGGTATGAGAAATAGGTTTCGGACGCATTGGACAAACAAAATTTGTTTGGCCCATCCAAATATCTGGACAAAATTTTTCTCTGCCAAATTTTCAATTTTGTCAAGCGTGGGCGCACTGAGACACAGCAAAATATTACTTAACCACAAGTGTCAATCACACGGAAATAAACACCATCACTTGAACGCCGTTTGCGCGAAAGGTTACATGTGATCTCAGGAGTGATGGTCTCATGGTGATCTTTAACCTCTTTGATTGGATATATTGCCTCAGCATATTATTGCTTGTATTTAGTTTTTTTCTTCCTTGAATTCGTTCAACTCCAGCTGAGGCAGTTTCTACTTCTACTATGCAAGTGAAGGCCTCACCTTGTTCGATTGCAACTGGTTGTCGAGTACCACATCAGATTTTTCCGTAGAAGGCAGCAAAGGTCGCATCCTTGCTATTGACCCCTTACTATTAGAACCTACCTAGGCCTTGTAATTCTTGGTTTGAAATGCGTACTTCTTATGCAGACCATTACTTAATTTTCGTAGGCATAATATCTTTGAAGAAGTCTTTCATAGCCAGATGAGAATGTCGCGCGACACGTTTAACATTCTATAGGCCATTCTTCGTTAAGCTACAAAGGGAAGACACGCGGGCGCGGTTGAGGAACTGCATCCCACCAGAAAGTGTTCTGGCTTTCGGACTCTATCACTTATCACATGGTGAGTCGAAAATGCAGGCATTGCAATGAATGTTGCTCGTGAAGCATTCACTGATGTCTGCAATACTCCGACTAGAAATAAAAATCAAATTTTCTTGATTGACATTTTCCATCAAATCATGGCTTGTAAATTGACAAATCTGTCAGATGTCACGCCTGACAAAAATTAGTCCTGCTTCGAGGCAGGACGACGGCGCCTTTGAAGTTCGGTGAGCCTTGGCAAAATTTGGTAGGGAACTGGTGACAGATTTTTTCGCAAAATAAACAAAAATTTGCCTAGTGCGTCGAGGCTCATTGAAAAAAAATTGCTTGCAGGGTCTGTAAAGACAAAATAAATTGTTTTCCAACGTGATGGAGTAAAAAATGTTTATGGAGAAGTCAGGTAAGAAATCAAAAAATTTTATTAACATAACTGAAATAAAAAAAATAAAGTAACAATTGAAGCATCATTATAAAAATGAACACTATTTGGGCACTAAAACGTTGGTCACTCTGCATTAAGCAAATAACAAATCTGAAAATAGTTGAATATCTCTCAAAGAAATGGGAACTTATTGCTTCGTATGCCCTTTATTTGCGTCCGTAGCTGCCAAAAACTTTTATGAAGTGAATGGAAATATAAGGAACGGCTGAAGGACGGCTGTTACTCCATGATGATAAAACTGAATTTCTAGTTATTGGAACTTGTCAGCAGTAAAATAAATTAAATCAAATTTTTTGAACCATTCTTTTTGAACTTACGTCTATATACATTTTTAACAAAAACTCTTAAGGGTGCTCAGCAAACCTCTCGTCGAAATTTCGTTTTATGCCAGGTGCAATCAGACACATGACTCCCAAGACATTTGCAAAACGAGGTACAAGTTCATACACGTACCATGAACTGAAAACGTAAGAATTTATAATATTTACTTTGTACACCTGATGTCAATGATGTTATCATGGATAAAATTAAGAGTACAGAAATAAGAAATTAGCTATTAGCAACGTGTTGCTGCCTTTTCATTTGATTTTTTCTAGGGTCGAAAGAACTGTGTAAATATAAAATGATGACACTCGATTTCAAATTGAGTTTAATTTTCCAATTTCTATTAACTTTCTACTCCATGAATTTCACCCTTTTGTTCACAAATCAAACACAACATTCCAATCGCTGTCAAGTTTCAGTTGTCTGTCGCTGGTACAGCACTTGGGTTTTTGTTTTCGTGGGGCAAATAGTGGATTATTGTACATCACCAGGTGATCATCTATCTGCCTTGAGCCGTCTTCACTCCTATACAGGGAAAAAGATAAATCAAATCGATCTTCACCAAATATTCACAAAGGTTGAAGTGGTACGCCTATGCAACCATTGATATCTACTCAGCATACCTTCCAAATAGACTGAATGTGCAGAAGAACTGTAAATATAAAAGTTTCTGATAATAAATTCATTTCTATTTGTACCAGACGCACGTACGTAGTGCGGATCTATTTGTAACTAATGTACGCGCTCCTAATCGTACAGATGTAAGTGAAACATCATCAAACAAATCAATATGTAAATACCAGGGCTGCAAATAACGGCCGGTCAACGGACAATGTCCCGTCAAAATTGGGTACTGACCGGACAAATCCTTGGTTTGCCGGACATCTTGTCCGGTCCTTTACCGACTCGTTCAAAGAAATTTTAATTTTTAACTGTTTGATAATCACAAGGGACACAGTCATGTTTCCAAAAGAAAAAAAAAACCAATATAAAAGTAGACAAATTAGTGGTCGAGAAATTCCCGGCAGTCGCAAATTTCCGCGATGTCATCAAGTCGTGTCGCGAGCGCAAATCATCGTGTCTTCCGTTATTTTATTTACTTTATTTAAGTGTTCCCAGTTAGTAGTGGGTTTTACCTTTGGCTAGATACCATCATTTACTCTTAAATAAAGTGATTGATTGTTTGATCTATTGAATGATCGGAAAACACCTTCACGAAGAATAATCTTGCTGCATCGAGAATACTCCAAGTAGCATTTGTTGCAAAGTGCAAAAAGCGAGCAAAAGGCCCAAAACCTGGAGAATCCGACCACTCTTTTACTCTAAGAAAAATTCACAACTGTAACTTAAAAAAAGGGCTCTGAGTGTAATATTTAGTAATAAGTGATTTTGCCAGATGTAAAGTAACCGTTCCACCTACTCAATGCGAGGCTGCTTCTGCAGTAAAGAGTAGTAAAATTATTGACTTGTAATTTTTATTGCCAGACCGACTTGGATTCAGTTGTTTTTTAGCTGTAAAAGGATTACTGTGCAATCTGGGTTCACTTTAGCAAGAGTTCGGACTGTTAAAATTTGACCGGCCAAAAACGGGTAGTGTCCGAGCAAAAGCATGTTTGACCGGACAACGTGACCGGCGACTGCCCGTTAGTTATTTGCAGCCTTGTAAATACTGCACTATTCATCCAATATCAAGTAGAGTCCAGTTGCCAAAAAGATCAACCCCTTCTTTCTAACAAAGAAAAACACTCACCAAGAGACTTGTTGAACCTTGAAGAACATATCGTTCATTTCATATTGCGTTAGGATATCGTCTGCCAACGGGTTCACTCTACCACTCGATCCTCTTTCCAATGAAAGCCTCCGTGTTTCATTTTTTTGTCTAGAGTAGCGAACTCGCCTGATTCTTGGCCTACAACTGAGGTTGAATAAGAAAAGTTCCGTTAGGTTAGCTACTATGAATTTAAATTCCATAATACACTATTTATATGAGATAGGAAATATGTAAAGACACTTGGACTTCACCCTTACTAAACTTACAAGCCCCCGGTTTGCTCCCGGCTCATTCCTTATCTCCTATGCATACGAAAAATTGTGAAGGCTTACCTTTAAGAGCAACTTCAAATCATTGGAAAAGGGATCTAGACAGTCGTGGTTTTTAGTGAGAATCTCGAGAAAAACGCTCATTTCAGGATATTTATATCCCAGATTTCCGGCTTATTGGGCTAGCTCAGGCTGGTATATAAAAACACTGGTAGACATGGACGATATCCCTCCCTTTTCAATACATCCGAATCCAAAATGATTCTTACCAAATGAGATGTCCACGTGATATCCCTCCCTTTTNTTGAATAAGAAAAGTTCCGTTAGGTTAGCTACTATGAATTTAAATTCCATAATACACTATTTATATGAGATAGGAAATATGTAAAGACACTTGGACTTCACCCTTACTAAACTTACAAGCCCCCGGTTTGCTCCCGGCTCATTCCTTATCTCCTATGCATACGAAAAATTGTGAAGGCTTACCTTTAAGAGCAACTTCAAATCATTGGAAAAGGGATCTAGACAGTCGTGGTTTTTAGTGAGAATCTCGAGAAAAACGCTCATTTCAGGATATTTATATCCCAGATTTCCGGCTTATTGGGCTTGCTCAGGCTGGTATATAAAAACACTGGTAGACATCGACGATATCCCTCCCTTTTCAATACATTCGAATCCAAAATGATTCTTACAAAATGAGATGTCCACGTGATATCCCTCCCTTTTCAATACATTCGAATCCAAAATGATTCTTACAAAATGAGATGTCCACGTGATATCTACAAGTAGACACTGACCTTATCATAGCTATCATTATTATAGCACAGATACACAGTAGTAACGCAAAGCCTCCAGTGATCAAACCGATCCGCGTGCTAGTCAGCCATCCTTTCTTTTCCGCCTTTCTGCTCTCCTTTTCCACAGGGCTATCTCCTTCAGTCGACTCCGTAGACCAGATGCTGGATTCTTTGGTCGACATCTTGGTCTGAGGGTAGAACGGAGTCTTAATAATGTGGTCTGTGGTTTTGCTTTCGGTTGGGAAAGATGGCAATGACGAGGGAGTCCTTATAGATGGATGAGAAGTAGATGTAATTCCTAAAAAATGAGATAAAAAAATGTTTAACAATAACAGCAACTACTCTTACTTTACCTTATATATTTTGCGACATTTTGTCAAGTAAATGCATTTTCTGGGTTCATCGATAATGAGCAAAGGAAAACATTCACAACTCAGCACACTTACTTTGAAGACACGCTGCTCCTTGCCAACCTTTTAAGCACAATTTTTGACCGGTCTCTTCCTCACACGTGTAGTGCCCTTTGCTGCTGTTTTGTGCCATGCAGAATGCTGCGCAATGAGGTCCATACCAGTGTAGGTAACATACCTTGCTTCCATCGGTGGCATCACAACTATAGTGTCCGGCAAAGTCATCCTTTGGGATACAGTTGGTAGAACAGTTAGGGCCATACCAAGTTTGGTGACATATTTTTGTACCGTCCTCAGACCCGCAATCGTAATGTCCCTTAGAGTTGTTGCTGGGTACACAATGCATTGAACAATTCCGACCAAACCAGTCCTGGTGACAAATCTTACTACCATCGTGATGATCGCATACGTAATGCCCTTGAGAGTCATTTCTTGGTGTACAGTAGATAGTGCAGTTTTGCCCAAACCAGCTCTGGTCACAAATCTTGGTCCCGTCCTCTTTGGCACATCGGTAGTGTCCTTCTGAATTGTTCGTTGTCCTGCAAAAAGTTTTGCATTCGGTTCCAAACCAATCATCTAGGCAAATCCTGCTGCCATTTCTCTTATCGCACTTGTAATGCCCGTTGGAGTTATCTTGAGGAGAACAGAAAATAGAGCACTGGGCTCCATGCCAGTTTTTAAGACACATCTTACCTCCATCGATCTTGTTACAATTGTAATGCCCAAGCGAATCACTATCATGAGGAACGCAATGGGTTGTACAACTGCTTCCATACCAGTCTGGATTACAAATTATCCGCCCTGTCTGTGGGTGACACGTGAAGTGACCCGCGTGATCATTTCTTGAGGCGCAATAAACTGTGCAGTTGGGTCCATACCAGTTACGTGCACAAT